AATACTGCCATTTGCAACAACATGGATGGACCTCAAGATAATCATGCTAAGCAAAATAAGCCAGACAGAAAAAGTTGAAAATCGCATGATATCAATTATATGTGGGAGATAAACCTAAAAGCAACAAATGAACAGACAAACAAACAGAGACTCATGGACATGGACAATGGACTATTGTTCAGAAGGGAGAGGACCAGAGGGGAGGGGAAAAAAATAAAAAATAAAATGTTAAAAATAAATAAATAAATAAAAGTTAAAAAACGAAAAAACAAACAAACAAAAATTAGAAGACCTAGCTTTCAATCCCATATTCATAATTAACCACCAGCTTGACCTCGCAAACATTACTTAAACTCTCTGGACATTAATTTACTTATCCGTACAAGAAGGATCTTTGTTCTAACTGTATGAAAGAATAATAACTCTTCTTATAAACATCACTTTCTGAGAAGCCTTGAGATAGAAAGTAGGTTTTGTTAAATATGTGAGGAAATTATTGAAAGATATGTCAAAGTAGGGAAAAAGCTGATTTAAACAGTGAATTCACATTTGTATTTTTGTATTTAATAAGTTTTATAGTAAAGAATTCAGAATAAATTTAGCTATAGTATTTTTTCCATTGTTTTTTTTTCTGGAACCATCCATATTTTACCTGGTTAAAGAATCTCTGATTAGTATCCATTTCCTTGAAAAAAAGAACTCTTTTTAATCTGTAAATTAAGACTTTGAACCTGCAGATGGTGCTATGATCTCATTTTAAAATTCAGTATTGCTTTCTAGTTTAAGTTTATTGAAAAAATTACAGTTCTTTAGTTTCTTTTTATCAAGAGGCAATACAATTGACTTATTTCTCTTTATTTTTGTGGTTTATTATTATAATGGGAGAACGCGTCTTTACCAGTGGGAAAATAGACTGTAGTTACTCTATGTGAATGCGAACTGGTCCCTTAGAGCAAACAATAGTGAACTTTTATGTCTTTTTCTTTCGGATTTTTCCGCTTATCACTCAGCATCAGTTTTTCTGTGACTCTCAACCAACTTACTTTTTGCCATTGCTATACTTGAATAAAATTGCTTCACTGAGAATTGGGTGGCAAAGAGCTAAGGAGAAAAAACTCCATTTGAACACCATTTTGATCTCTAGTTTTTAATATTCAGGTAAAAAAAAGTTTTCTTGGAATTAAGCCATAGGAACTCCGGCTTAAGTCAGAGCTGTCAACTGGGAAACAAATTTCCAAATATTTTGAAATTTAAATCATTTAATTCTTCTTGTAGTTAGATTAGAAAATATGACTAAGCCTAGCAGAATATTCTTTTATTGCATCAGTATAACTTTGAATGAAGCAAATGGACATTAAAATCTTAAAGTAGAAGAAAGAAAGGGGCTTTTGAGCCATTTTCTTTAGAGGAACTTACAAACAAAATGTAAAAGAATACACACTGAAAATTTGAAAAATAAAAAGAAAGATGGCATTTACATTGTTATCCATAATATTGTTAATGTGGCTGCATTTTTAGCTTAAACTCTGGTTAAATATATGGTAAGCTACTTTTAGTTAAAAACCCACAAATAGAAATTAAGTAGTTATTAGAGCACAGTGCCCTATAAATGCTTTCCAACTGGTTCTTTGCAACCACCTGTCAAGTGATTTAGTTGGAAATGTTCAAAGCTGGTGTGGATGTAGGTGTGTTTTGGAATGGGGAAAAAATAATTCTGCATAGTACAAAGACTTATAAAAATGATGGGCATAACTTTTTAAAAGAAAGGAAAATGGAATCCCCAGAGGTGGACAGTCTGATCATTTAGTTTTTGAATTATTTGAGATTATATATATGGCAGTACATTGGAAACGATGTTATTCTATAGCAGTACTATGACTACTTTTTACAAGAGTGTGCATGTTATTTTACTATCTTTGAGCTTTTTTGAAACGTTTTCATTGGGATTAGTTTCAACATAAAAGAAGTGTAGTAGTAGAAAGATGGAAATTTTCTTCTAGATGCTTTTAAAATTAAGATAATTCTCAAGAAAAATTATATGAATCAAGATCTACATGACCAGCATAACATTTTCTTTAAAAAGTACTGGAAGAATTGATGCTTTATAACAAAGGAGAATTATACATTTGTAAGTGTCATGGACCTAAGTCTTTGCTGCTTTCTCAATCTATTCCTGTAGATAAAGTTCTTATTTTCTGAAAGGATTTCAAGTGGCCCTGGCTATAACACTAATCATTCTTTTACATCCTTATTGCTAATTAAAGGTTAAAATATTTCACCTTAAACTTGCTTTTTAAATTTATTTCAGAAGAGAACATTCTACTTTATCTCTTAGATCTTGAAGTCACTACAAATTTATATAAATCAGATATAATGGCAATTAAGTAAAAACTTCTAGTCCTACTCAACCTGTGGAAGTTCTGCATGACGTCAATCAAAGAGCTTGTGATTGCTCAACCCTAAGTACAAGCCCTATAAAACGATAGGCTTTGAAATGCTGGTCAGAGTAGACTGAAAAGCAGCTGCTGGAAATAACATCCAACCCTTAGCTAGAACCAAGTTCTGGTTCAGCTCTAAGGGCAGAGAACTCGTGGAGCCAAAGATAAGTTTCTCAAGTCACCTGGTAAGTATATAAATGCCTCAACATTTCGCGTATGAAAGGGTTTTCTGAAATATTTTGTTTGACTGATGCTTTTCCTGCTTGCTCTATTACTAGATAATATTTTTTAAATAATACATTCAGTGTATTTTTTTTTGCCTGAAGAGAAAATTTTAACTAAAGAATTTAGTTGATATAGTTGATTTTGAAATTTTCAACTCGTTTTTTAAGTGCTGTTTTTTCTATGTCATTTGTTGTTTATGTGAACCTAGGAAACATTTATTTTCCTCTTTAAGTTTACATTCTGTGGTTTTTATATACAGAGAGAAATAGACTGTGAAATCTTAAGTTTCTATTCAGAAACTATTTAGAAATATAATGTGTATATGGATTAGATATAAAAAACACAAGCTTTGTTTTAATACATTTCTCTTTTTATGGCAAAAATTATTTCAACTGTAATAAGTGGTTCAGTGATTTTTTTGGTATTAATTTTCACTATTAATAGAGTTAAGTTGTTCAAGCCCAGGTATATGAAAATCAGTTCCCGGTAATATCTAACATTAAAAGTGGAAAAAGAAATGTTTATATAAAACAATTTTTATGCTAATAGATATAGAAATATAAATGCATATATATATATATATACACACACATATTAAGTACATGATACCCTAGTTTTATATTAATCAGATGCAAAAACTTAAAGTAGAAGAAATTATCAGGTTTTTGAAACTTAGAAAAGATACTAAACTTGGATGCCACAACTCTAATAAGGACATGGCCCCTAAGTTGTTTCTAGCAATGTAAGACTATGGCATTCAATATATAACTGGGCCAACATGTGCCGGATGACGGATAGGCAGCAGTTGAAAGGGATCTTTATCATTCAAGCACAAATTGATCAGATAGAAACTATACTGCATTTTCAAGCTTTCTATAAGACAAAAATGTTTTTCTGAACTCTGCAAGAACCTTCAGAAACCTCTGCTAGTTACCCAGAATTCCTGGATATCTACCTACCAAAAAAATGGAAAACACTTATTCACAAACATACCTGTACTCCTATGTTCATTGCAGCATTATTAACAGCAACCAAAACATGGAAACAATCTAAGTGTCCTTCCACAGTTGACTGAATAAAAAAAGTAGTGGTACATGTGCACAGTGGAATATTACTCAGACGTAAAAAATAATGAAATATTGCCATTTTCAACAACGTGGATGGATCTTGAGCGTATCATGCAATAATAAATGAAATTAGTCAGACAGAAAGGACCAGAACCATACGATTTCACTCATGTGTGGGACATAAAACAGAAAGCAACAAATGAACAAAACAAACGAAGTCATAGACACAGACAACAGTATAGAGGTTACCAGAGGGGAGAGGAGTGGGGAGCAGATAAAGAGCGTAAAGAGGGTCAAACATATGGACGGAATGAGAGTAGACTTTGGGTGGTGAGCACACAGTACAACGTACAGATGATGTGTCCTAGAACTGTACACCTGAAACGTATGTAATGCTATTAACAAATGTTACCTCAATGAATTAAAAACAAACCAAAAAATGGATTCCCTGGCTGGTGACATCTGTGGTTGGAAAATCTAGTGTGACTTCCTCCCTTTCAAGGTGCAGAGATGGAAACCAGAGGGAAGCCCCAGCTCCTCATGAGCCTGATAGTTCTCAGTATGCTCTTCTCACAAATGCTGGCCTGGCCTCTTTTTGAAGCACGTTTTTTGAGGTAAGTTCTTTTCGAGTCAGAGAGTCAAACATTCCATCTTCATCTCGATGAGAATTTTCTTTCCGTCATTCAGACGACTCGATTTTTTAAAATTATGCATTATTGATTTGAACCTTTGGTCGATATGTTAAGACAAATTTTTCAATGTCGAATCAACATGATTATTCCATACTAAAATTGTGCTAGTACACAGGATTATAACCAGAAGGCCCTACAAAATTCATTGAATTTAAGTGATTATTCAGAAATGGAGAGATTCTTTAGACATGATCAATGCAGACATATACATTACATTTTGAATAAATTGTGATATATAATATGTAATAATTTGAATAAATGAAACTTTGAATAAATTTTAGGAACTTAGAGAAGGAAAAACAGTTAACCCTCAGCTCTTGAGGAATGTTTGAGCCAAATAAACATCAACGAATATACAAATTGTCCCAGTTTTTATGTTAAATATTACGTTGTTTTCAAAGTTTCTATTTTGTAGAAAATCTTTCTTCTTGTGAAATTTAACTTTGCAAAGTGAAGGCATTCCAAAGGAAGTGTACTTTGCTTAATGCTATGACAGGATTGAACTGAGTAGTTCGTATGCTTGACTTATACAACTTGTAAAAGTTACATGCATCTATCGTGTGGGATGAACAAAAATTTTACTATTGATACTCTCAAACCACATAAGTCATGATGCTATCCATATTTTCTGAATGGGCGGTATTTTCCAAGATTTTGAGTGTCTTATTTCAAATGACTGTAAACTCATAAGCATTGTCTTGTGAGAAAAGAATGTATTATACATCTATTGTCTTTTTTCTAATATGTTGGATATCAGAGTACCATTGGAAGAAGAGAGTGAAGTTGATCGAACTTCATTCAAAGCAGACACTGACATCTTACGAAATGTATTTCCTGAAAATGGCAGGTGAGTTCGGTTTTATTGAGTTTTATAGTAAAACCTGTATTTTTTTTTTGAAATATACATGTTTTATTTTTGTGTCTCCATAAAGCTACTCCCACAGCACTGCACTGCAGGTTTCCATGGGCCGTGGCTTCATCCAACCTGACATACTGCAGGTCTTGCAACTGCACATGATTCTCATGTACTGAGGCTGTGACAGGCGAGGATGAGCAAACCATTCACTTGCATTCTGTTATATAAAAGGTCAACATCAGTAATTGTACCAATTCTAGTAAAGCTCTAGGAAAGCATTTAGGATTCCATAATATAGGAAGTTGGAAGGAAAGAGTTTTATGTCTATGCAAAGAAAAGATGTCTAATAATAAGAGCCACTCATGGACAGAGCCATTCCTCAAGAGCAACATTCAAGTATAGACAGCATAACTCAATATTGAAGACAAAAACGTAAAATCTTTTTCATCTGAACAGAAAATTGGGCTGATAGACCCTAAGATCCTCTCCATTTCAGGATATTTTGTTTCCACATATTTTTAGAGAAGAAATAGCAAAAGGCATAATAAAGCCTTTGATAAAATCAAGATAGTTTTTTCTTATATATGTCTTTATGCATGATAGAAGAATAAAGCACAATAAATAAATTAATTAATTAATTAATACAAACGAATTTAAATATATTTTTCCCAACAACATCTCTCAGAAAAGACTTAGTTTTACAGATTCTATCAGGGAGCATTAATTAATATTGAGATATATTTCTAAAAAAGCTAATTTCTTTAATTGTTCAACATTTTGGGCTGAAAATATAGAAAATATCTTGCTATACGTGACAAAAAAAATCTTTTACTCAGTTATTAGAAAATTTCTTTTGGACTTAAGTGCATAAGATGCTTTTGTAATAAGCTGATAAGTTTTTTCTTTATTCATTGAGTCAAAATAATATTTTAGAAAAATAATTTCAAAATAATGGATATCTTTTCTTCCTTGTTTTAGGAATGCCAGACATGCCGATGAACTTTTCGCCAGTGACTTCATTTCAGTCTTGGATCAACTTCCTAAAAAAAAATACCTTCGGTCCCTTATTGAAAATGGAGATAGGTAAAGCAAATGTATTATTTTTAACAAACGTTATGATTATTTAATGTACACTTATATTTTCACTGTTAACAATTTATTTACTTAGTCCTAAATTGTTAACCCTTGATAATGTTCAGTTTCATTAAAAATAATTTATATTCTTCAGTAAAATATACCAGGCCCATGGATTAGAAGATAGGGCTTTCTAGTAATATCATACCCACTGGCTCCAGACACACTAATTTTTCTTTAGTAGCAATCATTTGTAAATCTGCAACCAAATTGAGCTAACATAGTAAAAAGAAGACATAGTATAAACTGAAGCAAATTTTAAGGTTAACCATAGTACTTGTTTTTAGATTCCTTCCGAAACCAAGCACTGAATGATTCTTTCTTCAAATGTCCGACAGCTGAATATTTAGATGGCACGATACAGATGGAAATAGATTTTTAAAAGCATTTATTTTAAAACAGATTTTCCTTTCAATAGCAGAACACAACTCAAATATTCCCCCATTTCTATTTTTTTAAATAAATTATTGCTCAGTTTGTACGAAATGTATCTTAAATCACTCCCAGAAAATGCTAAAATGTGTTGGATTATTCTTTGCTCGATAATCCTTCAATTTAGATGCATTTTTCTTTCAGTATTTTTGTGATAAAAAATGAGTTGGGTGTTAGAATTCATTTTTATCTGACTCCAGGAAATTTAGAACTTTGGCATATCTATCATTCCTTGTAAAAACTCTGATTTACTTTTCTCCACATTTCTCAGCAATAGCATCTCAGAAAACCAGAGACCAAGCAAACGCAAGGCAGATGCAATCATTGGTCATTATTATGCTCAACTTCAAAGGAGGAAAGCTCTGAAAAAATGGTTGTGGAAACAAATTGTGACTCAGGTAAAGAAAAAATTAGGTAATTATAAATTATAAGGTTTTTTTTTTTTTTCCAAAATAGAAGCTACAAATGGAGACTTATTTGTCTATTTCATTATCCATCTTTTTCTCAACCTTGGCTGCTATTACACTATCCTGCAGAATGTTTAAAATACTGATGTCTGAGCCTAACCCAAAACTCATTGCCAGGAAATTAGTGCCCCTATGGATATGGCTCTTGACATTTGTATTTTTTAAGAGCTTCCTAATTGATTCTACTTTGCCTCCAGGGTTAAAAATGATAACTGTACTGTTATCTAGTCTGAATCTGGAAACAGGTTTTATCAAAAGTACTGATTTTTAAAACAGGTAAAGCACATTCAATCAGCAATGTAATATCACATGGAACTCCCTTTATGTGTGCATTCAATTCTTTTATTTTACCAAATTAAACCATGAATTCTTTTGTCTTCCAAGATTCTGTAAAACCTCTTTCTCTGTGGGGTAGATAGATATTGGAGCACAATAAATAGAAAGTGGAGTGGTCTCTCTTTTATTCCATTATTTTTGTTTAGAAGGTGAGTATTAAGGACAGGTAATAGCATAGGTCACATATTATTACTTCTTTAGATAGTTTCTTATGTAAAATCCTAATGAAAAATTTTCTGTGTGAAAAACACAAAACAGCACAAAGATGATGGAAAAGCACCTGGGAGCAAAGCTGATAATGAAGTAGCCCAATAGTGAGTATACCTGTGTATTCTTATAATATTCTCACAGCAATCATCCAGGTATTTAAGTAGGTAAGAGTCACTTGGTGAGACACATCTTTGAGTTCTCACATTGAGACCTCATCTAAGAAGGACACAACTACCTGAAGTGAACCCCAAGCAGTAAATGGCTTAAAAAGATTAATGCAGGGCGCTGATCACATAAAAGAGAAAGTTCACAAGGAGTAAACAGTTTGTGATCTCCTAGGTTACTTAGAAATGTTCCTATCCTGTTGAGATCTAAAACCAAGGAGACTGTTGCACACTGATGAGGAAGACCAACTTTTTTTTTTTCTTTCTTTTTCTTTGAGACTCAAGCCATACTGCTTTCATTAGTTTAAGGTTTATTTCCACAACTGACTGCTAGCAACTCATTTAAGTACAAGGAAATACCACCAAATTATCGTTTTGTGTGTGTGCGTGTGTGTGTGTGTGTGTGTGTGTGTGTGTGTGTGTGTGTGTGTGTGTGTGAAAATACCAAAACACTTTGGGTCTAGTTGTATTCTTTCAAACATAGCAAACTTTATGCAGCAAAAGTCACATTTAGCTTATTTTAGTAATAAAGTGAGTGTAGATACTATGACTCCAATAGTATTCACTGTGAAATATGTTTTGAGAAGAAAAAAGGTGAATAGTTTTTTCTTCTTTTGTTAAGTAACAAATTTTTATCACAATTGTTTTTATGTATACATAGATATAAGACATATTCTTATTCTGAGTTAAGGTTTACATTCGCTCATAATTATGTCTACCATACTTTGCAAGTGCTTATTGCAATTTCATATTGTCACTATATCAGAAGTTGGCAAAATTTTTCTCTAAATGCTATGGAGTAAATGTTTTTGGCTTTGTGGGTTATCTGCTTTCCATTACAACTAGTCAACTAACTCTGTAATTGTAGTGTAAAAGCTGCCATAAATAATACATAAATGACAGGAGTGCCTTTGTTACAATAAAACTTTATTCATAAAACATGAAAGTAGGCTAGACTACAACCTTTATGCGAAGGATAGTAAATTAGACCCAGCTCAGACTAAAGACAATTCATGGTCTTTCTTCAGTCCCTAGATAGTACATCTAAGGTTTTCGTGAGAGTCCTCGAGAGTACACAGAGGGTCTGGGAAGACAGCTGTACAATGGGTTGTTTTTATCCACTGATTACCCTGTCACCTCTAAATGACATACATGCTCAGGGGTGCTGCGCATGCTCATTCATTATTATGAATAGATACTTCAAAGAAATGAGTCTGTTGGCTCAGAAAAGAAAGGTAATCTCATATAACTTCATGAAAAAATGTTTATAATAAGTCCCTTTCAGTAAATTAAGACATACAACAGACATAAAATATAAAGGGGGATTAATCACTCTGATTGTATAAGTGTTTGATTATTTATGAGATTCCATTCTTCATTCTTTTAGTTTCTTTTTTAAACAGGTAGCATCGGACAAATTCTTTTAAGTGAAAATCTTGTGGGTCAACCATTTGTTAAAATTACAAATGGGTAATTCTTAAAAATTAAGCCATTTTCACTGTAGTTTCCTCTCTGACAATCAGTCTCTTTGAAGATGCCCTCTTGATATCCCACAACACAGTCTCCTGTCACAGGCCATTGACCAGGGTCAAAGAGAAATAGATGTGTATCAAATGAGTGGATAAGTAAGTGAAACTAAAATATTGTTTATTAAATTTTTTTTGCTTAAATACCAATTCTTTTTCAGAATTCCTGAAGAAACATTATTAGAAGTAATTATGTTTTGATTTCTACATCAGAATTTCAACAAATCATTTTCAATATAAAAACAAAAAAAGTGTTGTGCATGTTGTACTTTATTCTAATATAAAAACTGTGATACTTGTTTTGGAAATGTTATTTGAGAGTTCTAAAATTTGTCTTTAACTCATGAAAATCGTAGAGTTTCATATGCTGTGTATTTTTTCTAACAAAAAAATATTTAATGATAAGTAAATACCAAGTTAATTGAACCTGGCTTTTTGGAAGTGTAGTAATAGAATAAATTAATGTGTTTACTTATAGAGCACACTTAACTATTCATAAGAGTGCAGCAGAAATCCAGTGTGTCCAAATTTGAACGTTAAGCAGATATAATGTTGTTAAATAAACCTCAAAATGTCTAAGAGAATACCAACAAAGATAAATAGACTTTCTTTTAAAAAATGATTTTTTTTTAAATGTACGCATTCCCATATTTGTGGGCAACCTTTATTTTGAATGGGATTAAAAGAGATTAAAAATCTCTTACTATGGGACCTCTAATTGCCAATGACTCTCTTCTGACATAGTGTGTCAATGAAGGAGAACGGCCTCTACTTCTGACACTGGACCTTCCTTTCATGCTTGTGATAAGGATGTGCAGAATGTAAACTGAGTGGGCCATTTGTTTTCAGTAATAAATACTTTTTCCACAATCGCTCAAAGAATGCTTTGGTCATACTGTATTCATCAGTAAAAGTACTATTAGAGATACAACTGTTTTTCTAAAATGAATGTAAGAAATTAAATGTAAAAAATAAAAATCATTGCTTATCATTGCAAACACTTTCTATTGTTCTGTTTTGAATGGTGCAGCAGAGGCTACTTTTAGCTCTACAGTTGCAAGCACTGGATAGTTTTTGTAATGCGTAATGTAAAACTATGTTTAATTTTGTGTGAGTCCTAAAATAAGTGACTTAGTAAGAAAGAAATTCCTTTCTCATATAAGGCCAGAAGTAAAATATCAGGGGGTTAGTATGATGATTCTGCTGCATGAAACCCTGGGAAATCTGCATCCCTTCCAGGTCACCCTTCATCTACTAGGGTGTGGTCCTTCTCCTCACGATCCAAAACTGCAGCTAGAGCTCCAGCCCTTGTATCTGCAAGTTTGCAACGGAAAAGAAGAAGGAGCAGGAAAACAAACAAAGCCAAGAGTACATTCCGGTTCTCTTTTAAGTAATAGCTTATGTTAACATTCCCTTGACTACAACATAGTTTTATGGTCACAGTCATTTGCAAAAATGCAGGGGAATGTTTTGCTTTGTTTTGTTTTTATATTATATGTCCAGCTAAAAACTAGGGTTTTATTCGTATAAAACAAAGAAAAAGAATAGATGTATGTGGGTATTTATTTTTTAATCAGACTCTGGATCTTGAAATCTTACCAAAAAGGCTTAAAGAACTTATAGAGAAAGCAGGAATCATAAATGCCAGTGAAAAATCAATATCATCTCAAGGCAAAGCTTTGCTTACTTCTCTTTACTACAATTAGAACAGATGGCCATATAAGGAGAGACTTGTCTAGAACTAGCAGTAATTACAAAGGCATTTACGGGATTTGACGTACATTAGACTAATTTATATCTATTGTTTACATCTCTTTCACAAATTATCAAATATTTCTTTAGTGACTTTTCTGTGCAAAGCACTGCACTGAAAACAGAAATCTTCTAGATGTTATTTACACTAGGAATGTCATGAAGATCCAATGGGGGCAAAATTGCAGTGCAATGTAATGGGACTCTAAAGAGTTTTCATTTTATTGTCTAAATGTAAATCTTCCCAATTTAGTCCCTATTCTTTCAAGAAATAGTTATTGAATGACTCTAATGTGCAATGTGGAGATGCCAGATTTGAGTGTTTGACCAGAGGGAACAGTCCTGGCATATGCGGAGGTCAAGGAAGCCATTGTGGCTGGAGCAGTGTCCCCTGGATGAGGGCCGACGAGGAGAGGAAGTGGGAGAGGTTACCAAGGACTAGACCTCGAGGGGCCTCACAGACCACCGGAAGGACATGAGGACAGCGATGATTAAAAAACATGAATTTATTACTTTGTTTTTGTTATTAAAAAACAAACCTCTGAAACTTCTAATGTGATGCTGTCATAGAAAAATCTTTTCTTTATGGTGATGATTTATTATTTTAGAAGTAAAGCATTACACGAATATAAAACAATTTACATTTTTAGAAATTCCTGAGAATTCTTTCCAATTCTCATTGTTCTTTCTCGAATTCAAAGATTAACATTAGTCAGGAATTTGGAAACACTGCCATGGAGGGCAGGGTTGTGGAAGGGTCTGAATCCGGGGCATAAATGGAAGGTTTATATACAGGATTGTTGACCTCTAATGCTTGCTAGAGAATTCTAAAATACCTCGATGCCCTGACAATTAAAAAATTATGGCGTTATTTTCTTTAAAAATGGGGGGAAAATTGCCTGGGAAGCGCTACGAGAGAGAAAACATTTCCTCGGCCCTTCTCTTTTG